GATGATGAAGACTGAAGATTTTTTTTTTTAACGTTTATTTTTGAGAGACAGAGACAGAGTGCGAGCAGGAGAGGGGCAAAGAGAGGGAGACATAGAATCCGAAGCAGGCTCCAGGCTCTGAGCTGTCAGCACAGAGCCCCATGTGGGGCTCGAACTCACGAACTGTGAGATGACCTGAGCTGAAGTCAGAGACTTAACCACCTGAGCCACCCAGGCGCCCCACTGAAGATGACTTTTTAAATAGAGCATCACCTGCTTCGTTATGAACAAAAGTTAAAATATCCCCAGCTTGCTCAAACTGTTATGTAATCTCTTCTTCCATTCCTATCAACATAACAATGGGAGACTAGTATCTGCTATGATGTTTTTAAAACAAAACACAGAAACAATTTAGATACACATCATCCCTTGTGAGTGAAAGTGTCATCAATCCAATCTAGATTAATTAACCAGTAGGAAAATCACTTATTACATTATAAACTTTAAATATTGTTGTACACAACGTTCTGAGTGTGCACAAAGATATGTAATATGAGGAATCACTATTTAACTTCTAATTTTTGATTTACTTATGTTTGAAAAGTGACTAAAAAGTTCTAAGTCTAAAAGGGACTCTATATCACCTACATGTCTATTTTTAAAGAATAGTATATATTCTATAATACACTATAGTACACTATAATACATATAGTTTTTATTATTTAAATTTTTGTTTCTTTTGGTTATAGTTACTGAAATGTATGTTAAGTCTGTTAAACTCAATAATGAAATATTTGGGCTCATATTTTGTATATCCTGCCCACCCCCATATCATTCTCCTAGTAATCCGTTTTTATTGTTTTACAAGGGTATCAATCTGCGAGTTGCTGGGCATGGAGAATGTTGGTTCTTCAAGACAGTTTCAGAGGCACCTGTGTGAGTCTTGTTCTGCAGACAGAACCCAGCAGTAGCATCACACACAGGAAGCTCATGGAAAGTGATCTCGGCTGCCTTAGCCCACTCAGCTTGGGTTGTTTTTGCTCATTTAAAAAACCTTCAGCCTTTCCACCGATTCTCTACAAGCTACGTGACTGCTTTCTAACTTTCTTTTTAAACAGAGTCAGTTTCATGATCCGCCACGAAGAACTCCAACTTTTGTGGTGTACTTTTGCTTTGCTCATCTTTATGGCTCAGTCAGCACTTTCCCACATTAAAGAACCAGCTGCAACACCTTCACCTCTCCCTTCTCACCCTAAGCTGCAGGTTTTGCTTGTGTTGAAACGTGGCAAAATGCTCTTGGTATTCTGTGTTTTATAACAAAAGTAACGTTAAAAGCAAGTCAGTTTTTTAGTCTGGTATCAGTCCAGCCGTATTTTAAGTTAAATAACAGTGAATATTGGGTACTTAAGTGCCAAGTACTACATACCAAGTGTTATGCCTCATTTAAATACTATAACAAAACTATATGCTGGGTATCAATAGCCCAATTTATAGATGAGGAAACTAAGGTTCGAGAGGTTAAATGATTTTATCAAGGTGATACAGTTAGTACCAAGCAGAGACAAAACTCAAATCCAAAAGTATACAATCACTAGAGAAGCTAAATATATTGGTATGTTTGGAAAAGAACACATCTGCAATCCAGGCACAGCTTACACTTTATCTGAGATGGACTTCCTGTGTTACCGTCTAGCTCTTACCTGTGAGCTTAGTGAAGGCATCCATGTCATCAATTGCCGTAGAAATGTGATACTTTTTTCCTTCAGCACCTACAATTTCTATGTAGGGGTCTGCTTTGAGGAAAGCATCTGTAATCCTAAAGATCATTTCATAAAAATGTATGCTTATGAGAAAATTTGAATATTTGCTTAATGCCATGCTTAAAGTTAAGGAAACCTTTCTACTTCAGAGAAGTAAAACCCTGAGACACGATGTTCTAAAGACAACTGTTTTTTTTTTTTTTAAACAAACAGATACAAAAAGACAACTGTTTTTTGATCATACATAAATACATACATAAGTGCATGGGGATTCATCAGCTACCATGTTTACTGTGATCCAAGCATTATGGTAGGGCTTTAGATACATTATCTTATTTAATCTTTCCAACAAGAAGATAGATGTAATCAGCCTCAATTTTACTGATGCAGAAATTAAGTAATTTTCATTTAATCAAGTTAGGAAGAAGCCATACCAGGGTTTGAAACTAGCTGAATTAAAAACAAATAAAAACTTCTTATCAAAGTAACAACCATACAAATAGATGAATGTGTTCTAACTAGTCTGCTCATGTCAATTTAAAACTATTTAGAGATATGGAATTAACTCACATTCTACTTCTGAGAATTCCTCATGGGTCTTTGAGTCACACAGAGATGTATGGCTATACTTCTATCTGTACTTGGCTGAACTTTTCCGCTATGGTTCTCACTGGGCCAGGGAGAAGAGGTCAAATTCCTGTTGGTCTTACTATCTGCTACTAATTTTGACAAATAATTGACAGGGTAAGGACGGGCGTTAATCTTAATTCTTGAAATTAACTTGTCATTAACTTCAGAATGTCAATTATTCACGTCCCATCTCTCACCTTGATGACTAGTATCCGGCACATAAGTAACTACCTGTGAGGAGGTCTAAGGCATGCTCACGTTGCCTCTTCATGTCTCGCTGAAGCCAACTCTTCCACGCTTCATCTATCCCCTTTATCTATTCTCCTCCTCTTCCTCCAAATAAGTTTTTACTTTATGCTCGTTTTTGTTGTGTTTAAGGGAACCATTTTAGATTTATTCACTTAAAATTTACTTGAATTCCTAGAAATCTCAACTTGACCCAAGAATGATACTCTAGCAAAGCATCATGAAGAAATTTTATAGGGAAATAGCACTAGAATTTCTTACATTGTATCAATGATGTTGCCAACTTTGTGTTGATAAGCTCTGCGGTGCAAAGAGGTACGGGTATGGAACATGTCATACAGATTCCCAACCTCCTGCAGAAAAACATGAAATAAATATTAATGTAGGTTCAGGTTATGTTACCCTTGTTAGTAGATAAGTCCATAGGACAAGGAAAAGGGATGGTGACAGATGGACAAGAAGGCTATGCATAAGGACTACCTCATTAAAATCCCTGAGCCCACCCATTAAAAAATACAAGGTAGTTTGCAACTTTTGGTTTGCAACTTTTCTTCTTAGTAAACCAAAATCTATTGTTTTAAGTCTGTGGCAGGTTCTATTTTAGGCATCTTCAATATATTTTTTAATCTCAACAAGTCTAGAAAATTAGGCATTATTCTTTATATATTCTTTATTCTCAAAAGAAAGACTTTCTGTAGTACAATACCATACTACTCTTTAGCTACATGACTCTCATCTAGCAGAGACCTAATGATTTAGTATTTTACCTATTATGAAACACTAACATATATCACTAACTATGGTTAAGGATGAGACTTGAGCCAAACTTTCTAGGCTGAAACTTCAGTTCCGCCTTTTATTAATTGTATGTCTTCTTTGCTTCAATTTGCTCACCTGTTAAGCGGGATAATAATAGTATCTATTTCATACTGTTGTGAGAGTTGAGTTAATCCACCCAAAGCACCTAAAAACAGTGCCTCGCACAATACTTAATAAATGTCTGTTGTAACTTTGTTATTATTTAACAATGCAGTAGCAGTGAAAAGAACTTTAAGACACTTAACAAGTGCTAAGCATTAAGAGACTGATCATTTACCAAGTTCTGATTTTTCCGAATTATTGAATGATTACTTCTAGATTTCAAACTATGAACTACACCTTCTTTGTTGTTTCCTCTGATCTAGCTTACCTTATCTCTAGTACAAATACGCTTCCTATCATCTACTTCACAAACACGGGCAAATTTGATAAAGCGCTGGTAATCAAAATTATTTTGGATTCCAAGATGATGGCAGTCCCTAGAAAGATTCCAAAGCAGAGAGATGAAATTTGTCAACAAGAAAACTGTACCTTAAGTATCAACACTAAATGTACATAACAATTTTTTATTTTATTCATTTATTTAAATAAAATTTATATATATTTAAAGGATATGAGGATTTTAACCAATTTTTCTGAAGTGTTCAGTGCATACCTGGCAAAATAATCCCATTTGTCCACATCAATGCCATTTCTTTTATTGGCCACTATCTCATAAAGGAAGCTTTTCTCTTTAGGACGCCCTTTGTATGGCCACTGGAAGACAAGAAAACTCACCAAAAGTTTTAGGATATGAACGAAATCTATTTACAAGCAAAGCAACTGTGTTAATCTAAAAATTATAAACAGAGGGGTGCCTGGGTGGCTCAGTCGGTTGAGCATCCAACTTTGGCTCAGGTCATGATCTCACAGTTTGTGAGTTCGAGCCGTGCATCAGGCTCTGTGTTGACAGCTCAGAGCCTGGAGCCTGCTTCAAATTCTGTGTCTCCTTCTCCTTCTGCTCCTCCCGGCTCACACACTCTCTCTCTCTCAAAAATAAATAAACATAAAAAATTTAAAAATAAAATAAAATAAAAATTATAAACAGACACGTGCATGGGAATGTGAGATAAGTCAAAAAGTTCCACTCTTTCCTTCTTCCACCTAATTGCTAAACTAGTAGAAAAAGGAAAAGAAATGCTAAAGTATATGACATCCTGTTAATACCAAGCCTTGTGCCATTGAAAGGATTCTAACTCTATTACACGTCCCATAACCAACAAACTTTCTTCTTTTCTTGGTTTAAAAGTTTCTTTAAAATTTAAGATCTGGGGCCCCTGAGTGGCTCAGTCAGTTAAGCATCGACTTTGGCTCAGGTTATGATCTTGTGATTCGTGAGTCTGAGCCCCACATCGGGCTCTGTGATGACAGCTCAGAGCCTGGAGCCTGCTTCAGATTCTGTGTCTCCCTCTTTCTCTGCCCCTCCCCTGCTTGCACTCTGTCTCTCTCTCTCTCAAAAATAAACATTAAAAAAAAATTACAATACAAGATCTAATTATGAATTAGTAAGAATGCTCTTCATATGCTAATGCTTGAATTCATGCATGGAAATAGTATCTTTCAAAGTAGTTGCACATCTAGTCAAAATGATATGTATTGTTCAAAGAATTTTTGAAGCTCCTATATTTTGGAAATAGAATATTTGCTTCAAAATCCAGATTTTTTGGCAGGGGTTGGGGGGTGAGGGGATGGTGCACATGGGTGGCTCAGTTGGTTAAGCTTCCGACTTCAGCTCAGGTCATGATCTCACAGTTCGTGGGTTTCAGCCCTGTGTTGGGTTCTGTGCTGACAGCTCAAAGCCTGGAACCCACTTGGGATTCTGTGTCTCCCTTTCTCTCTGCCACAATGCAGGGCTTGAGCCCATGACCCTGAGATCAAGACCTGAGCTGAGATCAAGAGTCGGATGCTTAACCAACTGAGCCACCCGGGTGCATCTAGCTCTTTATCTTATAAGTAGATTGATATATATTCAAGGCAAAAATTTTTTAAAACCCAAAGGCAAACTATTTTTCAACTTTTAAATTAAAACAAACAAAAACAAAAACAGATTTTCCTTTGAACTATTCAACTTTTTTTCTATGTCTTCATATATCTAAGTATTTCAGATATGCTATTTTTTTAATTGATTTATTTTATTTTTTTCTCTTCTTTTAAAATTTTCTTCTATGAGCCCTGCCCCCTCCCATCCCTCCTCCCTCCTTCCCACTCCTGCACAGCTCTCCCTAAAGCACTCAAATATGTTAACTCTTTTAAAAATGATCTTATTTTGGGGGGGGCACCTGGGTGGCTGACTGGTTGGGTGTCTGACTCTTGATTTTGGCTCATGTCATGATCTCACAGTCATGAAATCAAGCCCTGTGTTGAGCTCTGCACTAGGCATGGAGCCTGCTTAAGATTCTCTCTCTCCCTCTGTTCCTCCCCTGCTCGTGTACAAGCTCTCTCTCTCTTAAAGAAAAATTAAATTAAATTAAATTAAATTAAATTAAATTAAATTAAATTAAATT